GGACAAGTGAGTGATTGCAAAAGCTCACCATGTGAGCTAATAATAATAATAATAATAACAGGGGGTACTTTATTATCCTTGAATAACTTTTTCAGTTGATCTTTAATCATCACAATAACTTTACTGGAAGTTGTTATATTAATATCATTCTTAATTAGTATGCAAAGTTTCAATGATCTATCATTAATGGTTGTCATGGAAACCATGATCTTTGTTGAAAAAGTCCATAATTTTGGTAAAACCTGTACCTGTACATCATAAAGAATGGGCATTATTTTTCAAATCAACAGATATCAGAACATGTTAGGACTCTAAAAATTATCAGGACAGTTCAGACATTTGTTTAAATATAATGGATATTGTTATTCACATGATTGGTAAGTGTCAAAGACCATACAATTACATAGGTCATCAAAAGTGGGCGTTGCCCTTATAATAGTAGATGATTACCATTCCCTTTAAATGCAGATTTAAGTTGACTTGAGATACAATTATAATGTACTTCTATTGCCATAATCTATATCAAGCAATTCTGGTAGATACATATAAGTGTTGTAGGTATTACATCATGCTAGGGATGGTGGGTACATTGGGGGGGGGGGGGGGGGGTTGTTAGAGGTACCCAGCCTTACATAAAACTCATATACAAAGTTTAATTTCATGTAGTACATCTTTTGGATCTTGTTCTTATTTATCTCAATATGTAGGATATTGCAATTTACATTATTGGAAAGTGTATAAGACCATATACAACAAACATAAGTGTTTAAAAGTGGGGTTTGCCTTCATAATAACTGGGTTCATACACCTTTTTCAAAATGAAATTCCCTGACATTTCCAGGCAAAAAAAGAAATTCTTGCGCAGCCTACTAAAAAGTCTCAAACAACTATACAAGACTTATAATGAAACATTTTATCCAATACCCAGTAAATGTCAAGGGGGTGAAATTCTTTGGGTTTGCATCACTATGAGTGAAGCGAAACCCAAAAGGGAATACTGGGGTTCACCTCCCAAAAAAAATTTGCATTGTAAATGGTGCATTCTAAGCATTTCAAACTATAATTTGTCAACTACTGATCATTGTTAACATTATATGATAACAATAACCTGGCATTACTATTGTCTTCACCCCTTTGGGAAAATCTACACCAAGACATGAGACCATATTAGAAATTCCTTCTCTAGTAGCGTCACTATACGGAATAATCCTATGATACCAAATAAAATAATCTGTATTTGTGTTATCAGGAATATTACCTCATCTGAAAACTTTTTTCTTGAACAGAGTCTTGTGCCCATCTGCAAAATAAATCTGAACCAAAAATGGCGAGTGTCTTTTTGAGCAGAGGCCCCATATAACCAAAGCATCAGTATATAAAGTCTGATATTTGAGTTATTTTGACAGATGGGCAGGTGAATAGACTGATGTAAGACAGCTTCTCATATAAATACAGTTTTACACAGAATCGTTATTGTTTTTCACCACCCACCCTCCTCAGATTAAACCCTCAACAAAACATGAAACATATACCAATAATTAACTATGAATGGCCTAAGACTAACTTACTACAAGGAAAAGCATAATTGTATTGAACCATCTATACCCTATAAGATACAATTATACTGTATTTTTGTTATATAACCATAATTCATATCTAGCATTTCTGGAAAACACATATAAATCTTGAAGTGGGTGGATAGAATGGGTGGGGGTGGGCAATGCTAGTCAGCCTTAGGTATAAATCTCATCAACATAATTTTGTGTCTCATAGTCAGTACATTTCTTGGCCTTGCATTTTCTTAGCATATTGTGGTCATTTCCAATCATTTAACATTAACTGGCATGGTTGCTTCTTGTTTGCATCATTCTTCAAGAACTCATTCCAATCTTTCAGGACTCTTATATTTCTCCCTTTGGTTAAGTTGCTGCCAAGCCTCTTCTCATCATTTCATACCAAAATATGTGAAGCCCTCCCAGCACTTCATGCTTTCACTGGGTGTAACACTGTGAGTGCCTTGGTTTGGAGGGGCAAAGTAACACCTTTCAAAACAATGGCAAAGGGAAGAACCATACAGACACATTCAAAGAACTAGGACTCTCAGCAGACATAAATGACGAAACAACCAGTAAAGTAGAAAAAGTTTGTTTACCATATAAATGGTGTTTCATATGTATGCACCTCATACATTTAACTCATACATGTAGCTTTGCCACCCTATCATGTTATATATCATTTTGTTCCTTATGAAAAGTTACATGGGACTGGAAAGTTTCAGAATAAAGAGGTGTCCCTGAAAAAAGATACAATCCAACAAAATATGTGGGTAGGGGTCATTTATAAGCAGTTTTGTAAGGATTTTTATGCCAGTCCGGTGATCTGTTCACTGTGTCTGCTACCCAATTTTAGTGATAAAATGGTCCCATGGTTCGTGACCTCCCTATAAGCCACTGCATGAATCTTGTCTATATCTTTGTGCATAACTGCCACAGACATGTGGACTGAGCTCTGCCATGGTGACAATAGCAAGAAATGTGCAAAACGGAAACTAAATTTGTCCTTTAAATTGTCCTCAAAATCACCAGAAATTGCCGTCTAAATGACCGGTACCCACAATCTTTGATAGATTATAACTTTTGTCAGTGACACCCCTGGATTCTGAAGCTTTGGAATCCTATGTAACTTTCTATAAGGCACAAAATGATATATAATATGATACGGTGGCAATGCTACATGTATGTTTAGAGGGGGTGCATACATATGAAACACACTGTATACTAGTATAGGAAACCTCAAATATCCCACATCAACAAAGTCAGATATGTGTTATTTAAAAAGAAGTTTAGGCCCCATACTAAAACAATAACTGACTATGAAGGAACAGATATTACTCTACCTCCCCCTTGTCAAAACTCCCCATGCTTCACTTAGCAAGGGCCAACTTACAGGCACTTATCTTGCGTATGGCCCATTTTGAAAAAGCTAATATTTCAGCACCAGATGGGCATGGGTGGAAACTTAATGATTCTAAAAAACCTTGAAGTTCAATGGGTAACAACAGATATTCTACCACAAGAGATTGTTGATATCTTAACACCAGGGGAAGAATCAGAAGATGACCCAGGAGATTGACCCTATAAGATCCAAAATTATGCTGATGAGATTTATAACTAAGGCTGACTAGATTTGCCCCCCCCCCTCCCCACATTGCCCCCCCCTCCCCCAGCCTGATGGAATAACATCAATTCTTAAATGTGTTTTCTAGAAATGCTTAATATGAATTAAGGCTATAAAAATCCAGTATAATTGTATCTCATAAGTTAAACTCCATATTTATAGAAAATGGTGGTCTTCTATTATCATTATGAGGGCAAAGCCCATCTTTGATCACATTTGTATTGTAATTGTATGGTCTTTGACACTTTCCAATAATGTAAATTGCAATATCCTATATATTGAGATAAATCAGAACAAGATCCAAAAGATGTACCACATGAAACTAAAACTTTATATATGAGTTTTATATAAGGCTGGTTACCTCTACCCAACCCTCCCCAAATGTACCCCCCCCCCTGCCCCCCCCCCCCCACCCTAGCTTGATGTAATACCTACAACACTTATATGTATCTACCAGAATTGCTTGATATAGATTATGGTAATAGAAGTACATTATAATTGTATCTCAAGTCAACTTAAATCTGTATTTAAAGGGAATGGTAATCATCTACTCTTATAAGGGCGACGCCCACTTTTGATCACCTATGCAATTGTATGGTTTTTGACACTTACCAATCATGTGAATAACAATATCCATTATATTTAAACAAATCTCTGAACTGTCCTGATAACTTTTAGAGTACTAACATGTTCTGATATCTGTTGATTTGAAAAATAATGCACATTCTTTATGATGTACAGGTACAGGTTTTACCCAAATTATGGACTTTTTCAACAAAGATCATGGTTTCCATGACAACCATTAATGACAGATCATTGAAACTTTGCATACTAATTAAGAATGATATATACAACTTCCAGTAAAGTTATTGTGATGATTAAGGATCAACTGAAAAAGTTATTCAAGGATAATAAAGTACCCCCTGTTATTTTCTATATTAGGGTCAAAAAACCCACTTTGGCAATTTTCGCCCCGGATACGGCGCGTCAGACAACAAATTTCTGAAGTATCACATAAAAATACATAAGAAACAAGTAGTTTCAATTTGTTCACTGGTAAAAACATTTTTGTGTCCTAGCTTACTACCTAGTAGGAGCCATTTTTGTTAGACTGAGGCCTAAACAAGGACAAATCAGCGTTGCTCAGTTCTGCTACACCCAATACTACAGCTCAGTGTATTATTACGCGTCACTAAATGTTCTCTCATACTCTTAGTGTGGTAATGAATATGACCCATGCCTCATCCCCCTTGGTAGAATTCCAGAATGAGACCAAAAAGCAGATTCCTTTGCTCAAGGGAATAAAAAGCAGATTTGTTTGCCCATGAGAAAAAAAGCAGATTTGTTTGCCCATGAGAATAAAAAGCAGATTTCTTTGCCAATAAAAAAGCAGATTTTTACCTATGAGAATAAAATGCCAAATGCTTTTTTTACAAAAAATTACACATTCATTTGATACTGTCACCAAAAAGCTATTTCCTTTGCACTTCACACGGAAAGCACATTTAACTGGTCCACGCACCAAAAAGCCAATAGCGTTAATCTTTCAAGCTCTTTCTTTTATCAGATTACATGTATATTAATACTTGAAAGATATGAGACATTACATACTAAGACCACCAAGAGTTACAGAGACCAATACAGAACATGTAACTACGCAGCAAAGAACATGTTACTACACATGCTACTACGTAGCAAAGAACATGTTACTACCCATCATTAGAACATGTTATTACGCAGAATTAGAACACTATATGCAGCAACTTCATTAAATACACTACACAGCTAAAAGGTGGCAGCACTAGGTCTCGCTACACACTTACAATCGTGGGGATTGTTGTAAGTCTGGTTCTCGAAGAAGGTCGCTTGAACCTGGGAGTTTTCCTATTGGAACGAAAGAAATGAGATTATTTTCTAATTGACCACAAATCAAAAATCATTTAGGGATACAGTAAAACCTGCAATATTGAACACATCCAATGTTTTCCTATTCTTTGAAATCTTGTTCCCCATTCTTGGTGATCATCTCTCTGTTTTCATGATCACGTTCACCATTGTTAGTGATCATATTACAAGTTTTACTGTGGTTTGCACCAATCAAGTATTTCATCAGATTATTTTTTCGATTTTTCTAAACACCACATCAGCTGATTGCTGAACATAAAACATAAATTCTACACAAAACCAAGCAAAATAATATTTTTCGCAGAATAATTGATAACAGATAGTGATATTTTGGATATTAGGATATCTGTGTCATATTTTCCTTATATTTAGCAGATATAAACAAAATCTCATCTATCAGATGAATAATGTTTATGATAAACGAATTTAAAGTTCATGCAAAAATCATGTGATATTTTATCAACTCTTGGATATCAAATTGCTCACTTGTATTAATATTGAATGTCATCTCCATTAAAATCATATTACAAAATACTTTGATATATATGCCATAGGCGTAACCAGGGGGGGTGCGATGAGTGCCCCCCATAACCTATAAAATAACCCCCCTGACTGAAAACCGAATTTTTTGGTGATCGCACCCCCCTGACTGAAACTGGCAACACCCCTGTATGCGTATCTGATTTATATTACATGTACACTTACCTATATTTTCATTTAAACTTTCACTCTTAGCTAGGGTCATGAGGAATCCATAGAAAGTCACCCTCTCTTCATTCCAAAGTAGATCCCTTAATATGTCCACAGAGGGACAACTGAAAGCAAAAACCAATACGCATTTACTGTATGTACAGTTTACATTTATTATACAGTCTACAGGATGGGCCAAAAAATGTGACAATAACTTCTTTAATAAAGCACATATTTTTAATGGAGATTGAAATTGAACATGAAATGGAATAAATAAATCTTCAGTGGTTTCTGAATGAGAAAGCTTAACACAAAGGTCTAATCAGTTTTGCTTCAAGACCCTGGACCCCCCCCCCCTATCTAGGGCTAATTGGAAATACGCAGTTCACACTACCCTGCGTGCAGAGTCTAGTTAAACTACACTCTGCCTAGTAGAGACCATATTACAGTTTAGTAGCCCCACCCCCACGACCGGTACCGGTGAAAGTTTGGGTAATGAATCACTTCTGACCTACGCGCTGACCTTTCTTCCACCAATCAGTGAGCTTGAAGAAACATACGCCAAATGCGTTCTAATTAAATATGCGTACATTGTCATTGGTCAATTCCTGGCTCAACGATGATGTCAGAAGAAATGACCATATAAAGAATGTCGGTCAAATTTGGCCGACAAACACTGATTGGCGCGGTGAGTTCACAGGTTTATTTTAGTTTGAAAGAGTGAAGACGAAGCTCTCTTTTAAGTGAAGTCAAACGAATGCAAAGGGTAAGTTCACACAGGATACTATGTTCAAAGCAACATATTCTCTCAAGTTTGATATCTAGCATTTTCTCATATACCTGTAATGCTGAAGAAAGCAGTTTGAGTAGCCATTTTGAATGACATAGGTCAATATCACATTTTTAATAATTTTAACTATTACCAAATATTGTACTATATTGTCCAAAAATTACCAAGAGTAGCATGTTTAAGCAGTATGGAAGATATTTGGGCTTCATTCTCCTTGAAGTATGAGAAACCCACCTTTTTTCAAAACTAGCACAAAGTGGGACAAGTGCCCTGAAGAACTGCATTGCATCAATACCATCAGCATGTTGTACTCCATTTTCTTTTGATTTATTATCCTTCCCATCATTCCCTGCTGCACCATTTTGCAATGGAGGAGATGATTGGTTGGATGATGGAATCACTACAGCCCCTCTTGGACTGTTTTGTGATTGTTCAATAGATTTGAAGATTTCTCTACATTTCTCGATAAACTCTGAAAAATATGGACTTATTACATACAAACAATATTAGGCATTATAACTAGGGGTGAGACGAGTCGAAAAAATCCGATTCTAGTCAAATCCGATTCGAGTCAGAAAATGACGATTCGAGTTTCGAATCCGTTTCGAGTCGCGCGAAGTGCGAACAACATCGCTTTTGACCGTTCGTATTTTTAATGCGTCAATGGTGGAAAGCCGGAAATATAAACAAACACAATTCGTCGTAAGTTTATTCTGATTTTATTACATATATTCTTTCATTTATGTGTACATACAATATAATAATTTAATACAAGCATATCCAAGTCATTGAAACTTATATATTCAACGCAATATCGAGTAAAAACATGCATATTGACAGTATTTTTCTGAATTTTTTTATTTTTTCGAATTTTTTTCTCAACTCGAAAATGATTCGATTCATCAACTTCGACTCGATTCGACTCAACTGGAAGCCCCAAACCCGCGAGTCCTCGACTCATCGGGTTGTCATCTCACCCCTAATTATAACACATATTTTCAGTGAGATTGTAAAAAGATTTTGCAATGTGTGAAAGAATTTAAGCCCCATACTCAATGCATCGTGGAATGAACATTCCTTTGAGGCGTTATTTCCTAAAATTAACACTCGATGCTGGCGCAACTCGTGCAAATTGGAAAGCAACACCTCCAAGGAATGGCCATTCCACATTGCACCGAGTCCAGGGCTTAATCCTTAATTTAAATACTGTGCATGCGTGCCTGCAAATTTCAGCAAGACATAAGTACATGTACATGTTGTCAGATTTTAGAAATATACTCAATCGGCCAAGTAGCTCTTCTTTTTCAATATTTTTAGCATCAGATAAATAAATTGAAAAACTGTGTGAGAAGTGAAGAAACTCGTTGCAGAGATATGCTGGGCATCAAGCTACGAACCTTCATAGTAGAATTGCAGTTGGAATGTGTACAGGAAGTCTGAGAATGATATGAGACATTCCATGGCATCATCTAGGAGAATGATCCTGTAAAGAAAAAGTTGCATGTCAAACACTGTAAGGGGCTTGCATCAGATAATAGAAAATGGGTCACAGCAAAGCAAAATGTCTTCCAAAACTGCATGTAAATGTTATACACTGTATGTCCAATTCAAAAGGTACATTTAGTTAGTTATGACTTCTAGCCTCTTGGACTCATGACAAATGTAAATAAAATTAAAAAAACAGGACAAGGAAAGTTTTATAAATGCATTATGATTCTTGAACTTCAATTGTCTTTCATGAAAACCAGAAACTGTGATCTATCATAATATTTTCAAGAAATGCCAACACCCCCCCCCCCCATATTATGGACAATATTATCTTACGTGGCTGTCTTATGTAGTATATCAACAGGAAAGTCTCCGCATAACAAACTGACTAGAGAATGGTACTCTCTAATGTTCAACAAATCTGAAAACGAAGTTTAAAATTAGGGACGGACAATTAATATTTACAAGCAATAAACATGAAAGGTAAGAATATAAAAAAAACCATTTTGAATAATATAGGTCAATGAAAGAAATATATTTTTGTAAGATTAAAAACATATTCAATGATGAATTTTTTAATACTCCATACCAATTTTCAGATGATGAAATCATGTTCTATCAAATCCTGTTCTGGACAGATGGGTTTCCAATTTTGATAAAAAATCAGACCAGCCTACCAAGAGCCTTTTGGAAGGTACTTTTGTATAATATTGTAGTTCCCTTTACAACACCTATAGATATACCTCCTTTCTTGCCGATGTGACGGAAACACTTCCAGAATGTCCTGACAAAGCATGCCCGATTATGTGCAGTAGCAGCTATGTAACTGTATTCTCTGAACAGAGTATGGTTTCCCTCTTTAACACTGGTAAAACTGGAAATATAAAGAATACAAGATTGCAGTAGAGACAATAAAATGCAGGTTAAACTATAGGTTATATACTTCTAACTAAGGAATCATCATTAAGTCATTAACTTTGTATGTCATTAATATTATTCGAATCTTAGGTATTTTTTCATCAAAAACATGTGTTAGTTCAAACATATCTAAAGCCCAAGCAGCCCAGGATTCGCCAAGGGGGTTAACTTTTGACAACTTTGGCCCAAAAGTGGCCAAAATCACTTGAAACATGCTCAGAATGGTAAAATTCTGCATGATTTTGAAAGAATTTTTGGCCAAGGAGGGGGGAGGGCTGCAACCTGCCAGGTTCATTTTTTGAAGATTGTTACATTTTTATAATACCATTTCTTTCTTACATCATTCATGGTCAAACCAAATGTATAAATATTATATATCATAAGTAATATATCCCTAACTGATACCAGCTTTTGTATGGTATATTGCCTCAGATATAGGTCATATAAGGGCATTAGGCCATATAAAGCCATAAGGGCAAGGTTTTGGTAAAAAATTAACAAATACACTCCTTGTGAATTGAACATGTGGCATTCCTGTTTTTGACAGTTTTTATTACAACCATGACCATGAGAGGGCTCCAGATTGCGCTGCTTTCGTCAAGGTAGGTGTGTTTTGTATAATGTCTGCATAAAGGCCTAATAGCTGTAATTCTCTTTCAAAACTAACCTAGAATGTTTGTTTTCTTTTTTCATAATGATATGTATATGTAACTTGATACCTAATTCAAAGTAGTTTATTCAATATGAAACTTTCCACATATGGCTTACTAGCTAGGTGAAGAACTTTTTAAAGGTTTCATATTTTCATAATAGAAAGTATATATATCATAATTCACTATGAATTCAAATTGTTTTAGGATTATCTATAATCAGGATTACATTAATTAAGCCCCTTCAATATATAAGGGTTATGTACTGGGAGGTTTTGGATATGGGGTTTATCCAGAGGGAGATTTGCATATCTACCTGAGGGACCGTAGGGACCGAAGGTAGATGTGCATATCTCAAAAGGGATGAACCCAATATCCAAACCGACCATACATAACTGCTTTATCCTATACCAAGTAGAGTTTCAAATTTTCTTTCAATTTTTTTGAATTATTTTTTATTTTTTCAATTTTTTCACATTTTTCTAATTTTTTCAATTTTTTTTATTTTTTCAATTTTTTATTTTTTCACATTTTTTCTTTTTTTTCATTTTTTCTTATTTTTTCTAATTTTTTTTTCGAAGCCGGAAGATATGCCCTGGAGCGGGAGATATGGCGGGAGATATGGAGGTTCAGGATATGGAAACCTCATAATCAGGATACGGGATATATCTTACCAACTTATCTCCCTAAAACTCTACTTGGCATAGGATAAACATGTATATCATTAATTGATATTATACATTGAACTATTTTTTTTCACAATCATTTAATGTTTACTCTATGCAGAACTTTGCAAACATGTTGAGGCTGGTAATAGGTGTCGCCCTAATCGGGTGTGTCGTCAGTGTCATAATGTCACGCCGTGAATTGTCTGCCCCTGGTGCTGTGTGCAACAATGGTGAACAGGCGGTGTATTATGTACAGGATGCTGCGCCTGGACCTCAACAGAATGTGATGGTTTATTTACAAGGTATGAAACAATTATTCATATTCTATTTGTTTGCATTTTCTTTTTTTCTAAGGTAAACACTCAAAGACATGTATTTATTCACAGATGAAATGGATTTAGGTGGAAAAGTAGCCTCTCGGGAGGATGGGGTAGTAGAAACCTCTTTGTCCAGATTTTTTAAAAGACAAGATAATTTCTTCCAAAATTTCCCAATTTTTCTATCAAACCTTATATTGCAAGAATAATTTTAAAAGGATGTAGAAACTTAAAAGAGTAATGCTTTATTCATCATTGTCATTGGGCATGAAAATATTACGAATTGCTATTCCTATTTCCTAACATGTTGTATTTTGAGATACATGTATATATTTGCAACTGACTCCAGGGGGTGGTTTATGTATTGATGACATCACATGTGGCGGAAGATGCCTAGTGGTACCCAGCCTATGTGAGCCATCTGAAGACCCAACCTGGGAGCGTAATCAGGGAATATTCTCAAGTGATCCAAACCTCAACATGGCCTTCCATAATTATTATAAGGTAACAAAGTCTGCAGCATAGAGTTCAAAATCACTGTGCATATCATCAATGTTTTTTGGGTGATTTGTACAGCAAACTTCATTTGTAGTTCTTTGAGATATTCATGACCTCTTGTTTTCATGCTGCCCCTGGTGGCTTTGTAGTGTTTAGTCCAACTATTGTTCAAATCCTTCAAACAGTTTCCTATTGTTTCTTTTCCTTTGCTTCTAGTCATGGGCTTTCAAGAGATCTCTTGTGTTTAGTGTTATTATTTTATTGTAATGTCAAACATTAGGGGTGCCTCCAGTGTAAAAGACACAATTGTTTTTGACAAATAGACGGGAGTCAATATCAATATGTCCAATGTTTTAGTTAACAAGTAAATAGTTCACTGTAAGATTCAAATATGTCAGTGTCACCAATGCCCTTTTTATAATTAACTTTCACTTTTAGGTGTTTGTCCCATACTGCAGCAGTGACATCTATGTTGGAGATAAAGAAGCAGAAGACGCAAATATAGATTTCCATTTCAGAGGGTGGGTAAACAATTAACAAATATCACCAGGGAAAGACATTCATATCTGACATTTTTTTTTCTTGACACCATTTTTCTGATATTGGAGATCTATGAAATGAGACTTGGAGTCTAATAGTGATTACTACTCTTTGATTCAACAAATAATTATACAGCTTTCATGCTGATAAGATCACCCGGAAAGTAACTGTAATGGCCTTTTGTGGGAGTTTGAATATGAAATAAATGGAGGTCGGGCCTTCTAGACTTCAACTCACACAGTCCTCAGTTTCGACCTCACTGACTATGTTCCTTCCACCTGAACCACGTTCTCACAACACGTTCTTTAGTCAAGAACCAGCAATTCCTCTCCCAAACTTATTTATCCACCTTCGTATTGAGTTCCCACATCGCAAACCATACAGCTGTGGAGAGATAAGTTTGCGAGAGAGAACTGGTGATTCACGACTAAAGAACATTGTGAGAACATGGTTCGAGTGGAAGGAATGTGGTCAACGAGGTCGGAACTGTGACCATGTGAGTCAAAGTCAAGTAGGCTTGGGTGTTATTTATAAAGAAATAATATTCTGTGACATAACATAACATGTGATATTATGATTGCTTTGTTTGAGGAAAGTAGTACCTCTTATTCAAAGAGTGCTGATGAAATAAAAACTTTCAAAAAGGTAAAGAGTTATGGTAGTGGAAAACAGGAATGATTCAACTTCTTGATCATACATTTTCAGATCGTGTCTAAACAGATGTTGTCATTTATCCTGTTTACTAGTATATGATTCCACTTTGAATCTTCCCTATTTGAAAAAATTGAGTCATATTTAAAGAGAGCTGCAGATATAGCGAGCAGGCTAAACAAAAAATTGTTTCAATTTTAGAATATTTTTGGCTCATGCCATTCCTTGTCATGTCTATTTCTTAAAAATCACAAAAGTGCATACTTTATTCCAGGAAAACTACAGATTTTTACAATAATGTATTATTTTTCTATAAGAATGGTTACCATTCTTATTATTTGGGAGAATTTAAACATTTTCACTCATTTTTGCACTTTGAATCACTAATAACTTCACCAATTTATAACACATGGTGTGAATCTTTTGGGAGATATTTAATTTGATATTGTAAGGAATAGATCGGTAGGTCAATCATACATGTTGCTTGGAATTTTGTCACCCCTATAGATCAGATTCTTCCTTTAAGGTATACCATTATGGAAGCAGTCAGGAGAGACTTGGAACAACATGTTAACCTTGGTGAAGCAGCAAATGTGATCATATCGGGGGGTAGCGCTGGGGGTATGGGGGCGATGCGTCACTGTGACGTGTGGGCAAGAGCTTTACCCAGAGCTGGAGTGAAGTGTATCCCAGATTCTGGATCATTCAGCCCATATAATCTGGCTGCAGCAGAGGAGGATTGTATAGGTGAGGGGTGAGGCGAAGCTCTGTGACACTATACTCAATGACCTTTCAAAAACACATGCATCTATTAGTAACTGTTTGTTTTCCTTTAAGAAACAAAGGGGCAAAAATGACAATCCGAAGAAAAATATTCCAGCAATTTTCAAAAAAAAACACCCTTTTTCCCAGTACCTGATTTCTGCCTGCTGTTACTGGGATTTGCTGCTCTTATTACAAGTGAAAGAACTGACATATAATAAAGCCTGCTAGGGAACCACTACTAGGCTTACCAGGGAACCACCTACTTTACAAGCACTTTCTTGGTATAATTGGTTAAAGACTATACAAGCCTAGCACTGACAATGTGAATTTTCTTCCCCTAATTTATTCTAATGCTGATTTATTGTGATTACAATTAGGAATTGGGGGAGACTTTGACTTTGCTGGTACCCAGGAATACTGGAATGCAAGCATACCTGCAGAATGCTATGATCAAAGACCTGGATCTCATGAGCAGAAGATTAAGGATTGCATAATGCAGAGTATTGCTTACAAATATGTGCAGAGTCCTCAGTTCATTGCCACCTACAAGTTTGATTCATTCTTTGCAGGTAAGTTTTCAAAATGAATAAACACAAGGAGCAGACACATCTCGAACTCGCAACCTGGTGATTACGGCGCCCAATCGCCTAGCCTGAATGAGCAGGCGCTCAAGCCCTCTCGGGCAACTCGACAACCCCCCAAAAAACTAGACATATAATTATTCGGTATTCACATGTTCTGTTATTCAAATACTATACATTGTATCTTTTTATTGTTCTTATTGCACGGTGGCAGACAGATTCAATACTTTCCTTCCTGGAATATTTTTTGCATTGATACATGAAGTGTACTGCTGCACTTTGGATCAAATTAACTAGAGATACCATAGTATAGCAATGTAACGGGCAACATTTTGGAGGTTTCAAAGTCTGGTTTAGTTGGTTTCCTTAGTAACTTTAAATCTGGCAATTCTAGCCCAGTGGTGCTATCCTGAATGTGGCGAGGCCAACCGTACAAGCTACCATGACCGCTGGGATGCAGCAATGAATGAGATTGTCAATGAAGTAAGAACAAGCTACAACCATGTAGGTCTATTCATGCCAAGCTGCTGGGGACATGTTTTGAATGGCCGCGATGATTCATATTCTCAGTTCACGGCTGGAAGTGAGGGCCTCACGTACAATCAAGCAGTGAATAACTGGATGACGGGCACTGGTAGCAGACATGCTGTAGATGAATGTGGTGCTTTGTGTAACAATAACTGTGGGGGTGATGATTGTTTTTAGAATATTCCAGCAGTGATCTCCCCAGTTTTTTCCCTGAAGAGGGCGCTAAAGACTGGTTGTTTGATCGTTATTTTGACTAAACCTCATATTGTAATCATGTTATAATAAATGTCAAATGACTGAATGAAAAATATGAACTGTATATGTTGGTGATATAATTGATGTGCATCTCCTAGCTATTGGTAGATGGTATGAAGTACCTAATACTCAAGATGAAGCCTAACTGGCTTAAGGCAAGGCTCTTCTGAAGTCCACAGGCATAAAAAGTCATGTGATAATTGATGTCTGTTCATTGACTAACCGGTTGTTTGTAATTTCAACTTCAAATGATGAGTTTATGCAAACAGCCAAAGATAGATAAGTTTACAGTTTTGCTAATGATATACATAGTATAATACCCTAGTGACACCATAAGTAGCTGTTGCGGTATTATTTCAGGAATAAATTAAGCTATTTATAAAGGCATGAACTTCTCTGCCTGCAATTCTAATCGCGAAGCTGAATTTTTATCGACCAAATCTAATTGGACAAGTCTAAATCAAAGGATTATCTCTGATTTAAAGACTATATATAAAGACAAAGCTCTACTTATAAGATACTTATAAGACATAAAATCAAACTCATCGAAAAGGGAATTGCAAGGGGTCATTACCTAAAAATCAAGCCCTTGTGAAATAAACACATGTCATTCACTTTTACAAGATTACAGCCATGGCCATTAGACACGTCAAAAGATTTGGTTACTTTACTCGTGCAATTGGTAAGTATGCCTCGTATAACATGAAATTAAATGTATAATAGGAATTGTAATTATTCAATACAGTCAATTAGAGAAACTAATGTTGATATATGGGGCCAAAGTTTATATTTTAATTTCAATATCATACAAAATATAAATAAAAGACCCTAAAACATTCCTGCTCCAAGGGTTGGTCCATATGGTACGACAACCACAAGTATACCTCAAAATATTCCATGCATATATAAGGGTTATGTACTGGGAGGCTTTGAATATAGTGTATATCCTGAGGGATATATTCATATCTCCCCCGAGGGACCAAAGGGACCAAGGGGAGACATAAATATTTTCAGATGGATATACCCTATATCCAAAACCGACTGTGCATAACTGGTGTATCTCATACTTGAGTGGCTTTGGGGTAGATATAACTTTTCCAACTTTTTCAAATGATAAGATAGGCCTATACTGAAAAAGCACAAGTGATATTTACCATTTTTGTAATATTCCTTTAGTTCATTACAATGAAATTGTAAACTTTTAAACTTTAAAAAGAATTTTAACTTTTAAAATTTTTAAACTTTTTTAAACATTTGAAAAATTCCCCGAAGCGGGATGGATATATTATATCTGCCCGCATATAGCCTGGAGAGGGACATATACAATATATCCTGCCCGCTCCTCAGATATGATATATATTCCCGGGTGATATCTACCCCAAACCCGCTCAAGTATGAGATACAAAAATATATTTGAACAATTTACTTAGTAAAAATATTAGTCTCTCACCAAGTCTCTTGACCATTCCCTTATATACGGTGCACTTCACATTCTTTTTGAGTTGTTGAGATGTGAATTAGGTAGGAGGGGGTAGATTTAAGCAAGATTAAAATTTCCATGTTTTAATAGCTTGTGTCATTTGATTCATAAAACTTAAGCATAATGCAAATTGATGCTCATTCTATGCAGGATGGTGCCAATATGTTGAAGTTGGTAATAGGTATCGCCCTGGTCGGTTGTGTTGTCAGTGTCATAATGTCACGACGTGAATTGTCTGCCCCTAATGCTGTATGCAACAATGGTGAACAGGCGGTGTATTATGTACAGGATGATTGGCCCGGACCTGAACAGAATGTCATGATTTACTTGCAAGGTGCATAGTTCAACTACACATATTTGTATTTGTCCATCATCTTCAGGCCCATAGCCAGGGCCCATAGCCCAAAAAAATCTTTCAAAATCATGCAGTTTTTCACCATTATGAGCACTTTTTAAGCGATTTTGGCCATGTTTGGACCAAAATTGTCACAAGTGAACCCCCCCTGGAATTTTTCAAAAAGTGAAGCCCCCCCTTGGCAAATCCTGGCTACGGGCCAGATCTTCCAAACCAACCAGCATAGAACCTGGGGACTTTGTCGATTTGAGAAAAAATTAAACCAGATTTCAGAAAACCTAAAAGCCTAAAACAGAGACACATAGAGAATAAGAAATAATTGACTGTTTACTTTTTATCTTTCAAAATTATGACTAGTATTATTCATTTTATCAGGTGGTGGTCTATGTATTGATGACCTCTCATGTACTGAAAGATGCATAGAGTCTCCCAGTCTATGCGAACCTTTAGAAGATGCTGAGATGGAACGTACTGAAGGAATCTTCTCTACCAATTCCGAAATTAATCCTGCCTTCCATAATTACTATAAGGTAAAAGAATTAAATGGAAGCAGAGACTCATAGGTGTAGTTTGAAACAAATAGGAATATTACATTTCATTTACAAAGCTACACAAATGTTTCTTGAATTCTGAAGCATTCACTATTTTCCTTTCATATGGTACTTTTCACACATTCTAATTTTAGGTGTTTGTTCCATACTGCAGTAGTGACATCTATTCTGGAGACAAAGAAGCAGAAGATGATCTGGACTTCCACTTCAGAGGGTATGAAATCAAATCAGTCAATAGGCAGGGATCTGGAGAGAAGTCTTTCACCTATGGAGCCATATAGCTCAAAAGTATTAAAAAGCTCACCAAGTTTGTGTCCAAGGCCTTGTTAAATCTAGTCATGCTATTCTGTCTTTTACTATTAAGTGTTATTTTTTCATTCTTTAGTTACTGATCATAATAAAACTTCTTAGAACAAACTGATGTATCATGCTTTTATACATGAAATAGCTGTACAGTTACATGGTTTAGTAGTTGTCCAAGTGGCATCTTCAAATGCTAATAATTACCATGATCAACTTCAATTGCAATATACACAAAATTTCAGCTGAATTGAAGAATATTGAAGAAAGAGCATATGGTGCATTACTTCTGGGACAACCCTCGTATTTATTGTACATGTATTTGATATTTGAAGGTATCAAATCATAAATGCCATCAGAGAAGACTTGGAAGAACATATTGATCTTGGAGAGGCAGAAAACGTGATCTTATCAGGGGGTAGTGCGGGAGGTATGGGGGTGATGCGTCACTGTGATGAATGGGCTGAAGCACTCCCAAGGGCTGGAGTGAAGTGCATCCCAGACTCTGGAACATTCAGTCCACACAACCTGGCTCCTGCAGAGGAGGGATGCTCGGGTGGGCTTTACAAGGGTTATCAACCGAATAACTTTGTCTTTATTGTTGTAAGCAACGATCATCTGAACGACAGTTCAGTTATATTCAAAGGGCAATGGTACTAGTTAATGGGAATTTATATCCATAATTGACTGTTACCAAACCAGTCTATCTCTTGTACCAAACCAGTCTATTACTTTAAACTTTGCAATACAAAGGCCTTTTTTAAACGGGTGTCTACAAAACAAAGACCTAAGACCTAAGACCTACAAAACTAAGACCCCCCACGTTATAAAACTAAGACCCTGTTATAAAACTAAGACCCCCCATGTAATAAAACTAAGACCCTGTTATAAAACTAAGACCCCCCACGTTATAAAACTAAGACCCTGTTATAAAACTAAGACCCCCCTCGTTATAAAACTAAGACCCTATTATAAAACTAAGACCCCCCACGTTATAAAACTAAGACCCTGTTATAAAACTAAGACCCCCCACGTAATAAAACTAAGACCCTGTTATAAAACTAAGACCCCCCACATTATAAAACTAAGACCCCCCACATTATAAAACTAAGACCCTGTTATAAAACTAAGACCCCCCACGTTATAAAACTAAGACCCTGTTATAAAACTAAGACCCCCCACGTTATAAAACTAAGACCCTGTTATAAAACTAAGACCCCCAACGTTATAAAACTAAGACCCTGTTATAAAACTAAGACCCCCCACGTTATAAAACTAAGACCCTGTTATAAAACTAAGACCCCCCACGTTATAAAACTAAGACCCTGTTATAAAACTAAGACCCCCACGTTATAAAACTAAGACCCTGTTATAAAACTAAGACCCCCCACGTTATAAAACTAAGACCCTGTTATAAAACTAAGACCCCCCACGTTATAAAACTAAGACCCTGTTATAAAACTAAGACCCCCCACGTTATAAAACTAAGACCCTGTTATAAAACTAAGACCCCCCACGTTATAAAACTAAGACCCCCTACGTTATAAAACTAAGATCCCCCACGTTATAAAACTAAGACCCTGTTATAAAACTAAGACCCCCCACGTTATAAAACTAAGACCCTGTTATAAAACTAAGACCCCCCACGTTATAAAACTAAGACCCTGTTATAAAACTAAGACCCCCCACGTTATAAAACTAAGACCCTGTTATAAGAATCAGTCACCGTGCCTTGCTCTGCTCGCCACAAGGTAGTCTTGCCTCTGGGCCTTGTGTTCCCTAGTAACATACAGATTCTACAAAAGATAGTCTTGCTTCTGGTCCTTGTGTTCCCTTCTAATATACAGATTCTCCCCACTAACATAAAGATTCTACAAAAGGTAGTCTTGCTTCTGGTCCTTGTGTTCCCTTCTAATATACAGATTCTCCCCACTAACATAAAGATTCTACAAAAGGTAGTCTTGCTTCTGGTCCTTGTGTTCCCTTCTAATATACAGATTCTCCCCACTAACATAAAGATTCTACACATGGTAGTCTTGCCTCTGGCCCTTGTTTACCCTAGTAACATACACATATGGTAGTCTTGCCACTGACCCTTGTTTTCCCTAGTAACATGGTGGTTCAAGATTTCAGACCCATCTTTCTCACATAGATTGCTGAACTTATTTTAGTTGAGAATTCCTAATAGAATTAAGAATTAATAGCTGAAACTGTTCTGTTTGTCCTAGCAAACAATATCCCAACATGCATTTGAAATTCATTTTTGTCTATATGTGTTGACAGTCTGTGATGTCACCATCAATCATCACAATGGGAATTAGGTGAATTCTATCTGTGACAGTGAGATTATCTATGATGTCACATAGTAGTTTGATTTCTAAGAAATGTGGCAGAGTTCTATCTATGACAGAGATGCTTTGTGATGTCATCATGAATTATCTCGTTTCCATTGTGATGATTGATGATGTCATCAGAGTACTTTGTGATGTCATCGTGAATTACCTCATTTCTATTGTGATGATTGATGATGACATCACAGACTGTCAACAAATAGACAGAAGAAGTTGAACTACAAGTTGGAAAATTGTTTGCTAGGGCAAAACAACTCAGTTTCAGCTAATAATTCTTAATTCTATTAGGAATTCTTAACTAACAATGGTTCAGCAATCTGTGCCAGAATGATGGGTCTTAAATCTTGAACTACCATTAAACATCACTTCCAAAACAATACCAGCATAAAATGGAGCATCTCTTTTTATGCTCAGCATAAAATGGGACATCACTTTTTATGCCAGCATAAAATGGGATATCACTTTTTATGCCAGCATAAAATGGGATATCACTTTTTATGCCAGCATAAAATGGGACATCACTTTTTATGCCGGGCATAAATCGTGATATCAAAAAATTACTTTTTTTAAAAATTACAAATCCGGGTATTTGTTACAGTCCATTTTTATATAATCCGCTGTTGTATGTTACTGGGGAACACAAGGCCCAGAGGCAAGACTACCTTGTGGCGAGCAGAGCAAGGCACGGTGACTGATTCTTATAGCAGGGTCTTAGTTTTATAACGTGGGAGGTCTTAGTTTTATAACAGGGTCTTAGTTTTATAACGTGGGGGGTCTTAGTTTTATAACAGGGTCTTAGTTTTATAACGTGGGGGGTCTTAGTTTTATAACAGGGTCTTAGTTTTATAACGTGGGGGGTCTTAGTTTTATAACAGGGTCTTAGTTTTATAACGTGGGGGGTCTTAGTTTTATAACAGGGTCTTAGTTTTATAACGTGGGGGGTCTTAGTTTTATAACAGGGTCTTAGTTTTATAACGTGGGGGGTCTTAGTTTTATAACAGGGTCTTAGTTTTATAACGTGGGGGGTCTTAGTTTTATAACAGGGTCTTAGTTTTATAACGTGGGGGGTCTTAGTTTTATAACAGGGTCTTAGTTTTATAACGTGGGGGGTCTTAGTTTTATAACAGGGTCTTAGTTTTATAACGTGGGGGGTCTTAGTTTTATAACAGGGTCTTAGTTTTATAACGTGGGGGGTCTTAGTTTTATAACAGGGTCTTAGTTTTATAACGTGGGGGGTCTTAGTTTTATAACAGGGTCTTAGTTTTATAACGTGGGGGGTCTTAGTTTTATAACAGGGTCTTAGTTTTATAACGTGGGGGGTCTTAGTTTTATAACAGGGTCTTAGTTTTATAACGTGGGGGGTCTTAGTTTTGTAGGTCTTAGGTCTTAGGTCTTTGTTTTGTAGACACCCTTTTTTAAACCTGTAGAAATAGTATGAATACATACACATACATATTGAATAATGACCAGGGATTGGAGGAGACTTTGACTTTGCTGGCACCCGTGCATACTGGAACGCTTCTGTTGCCACAAACTGCTACAATGGAAGACCTGGTTCTCATGAGGAGAAAACAAGAGATTGCAGCTTCAATAGCATTGCTTACAAATATGTGCAGAGTCCTCTGTTTATGGCTACTTACAAGTTTGACTCATTCTTTGCAGGTATATGGTTCAATTCTATTATTTTAAAACAAGTGGTTTTAAATTCAATTCCTTTTTCAATTAACATACTAAGTCAAAAAACAAAAACAAAAAAAATAAATTATAAAAATAACAAAAAAAACATACTAAGTCTTTATGAAAATGAGGCTTTCATTTTTTGACACCAGAATCACTTCTATGAAATATAAGTGAGAAATAATAAAAAATATCTGGCTTATCTATCTCCTGTATGCTATTAAGCTTATTAATATAATTGTGGACTGGCACTCTCTGGACTTTCCAATGTTATATGACAGTTTTAATGAATCATCATAATTAAGAAGTGTCCGCAAATTTCTCAATAGTCCAAACTGAAAATTTATTGATGCAATTTTAGCCCAGTGGTGCTATCCCGGATGTGGTGATGAAAACCGTCCAAGCTACCATGACCGCTGGGATGAAGCGATGAATGAAATCGCTAATGAATTAAGAACAGATTACAACCATGTTGGTCTATTTATGCCAAGCTGCTGGGGACATGTCTTGAATGAAGGTGATGATTCATACTCGCAGTTCCCTGCAGGAAGTGAGGGTCTCACGTACAATCAAGCAGTGAATAACTGGATGACGGGCACTGGTAGCAGACATGCTGTTGATGAATGTGGTGCCCTGTGTAACAATAGATGTGGGGGTGATAATTGTTAAAAAATTTTAGTCAAGATCATGAACTACAATTCTATGAAATAAACTAGATCATCAAATGCTGTTGCTGTTTTTGATGTTTGGTTCATATTGTTCAATTTTTGTGAACTTCATGTAATATGGTATATACATGGAATAGTATGTAATAAATAAAGTTACTGTATCTGCCTTAAATTTGGAACATGGGAATACTTTCTACCGCATATGCCTGTGGGGTCCCGAGAAAACAAAAATAATGGGAGTAAGAGGTGATACTATAAGTTATTCAATGATTCGAGTGAAATACAGAAAATATTCTTCCCGAGAAGGTCGTATTTCACGATGCGCTAGCAGAGTGAAATACAGACGTTCAAAGGAAGAATATTTTCTGTATTTCACGAGAAATCATTGAATAACATTTTTATTCCATGATTACTCAGATAAAACCCCTAAATCAAGTCCATTCCCTTGTCTTGGGACCGGAGAAACAGATCAACCTTCTCACCTCAAAAATATTTTACATCGATATTCCTTCAAAATCTTTTCGGCCTTGTTGTTTTGCTGTATTATACGATACGTTTGATTTTCTTCAACATTTTTCTTCAATTTCATCAGCTGGAACAGTGTAACGAAACGTTTTTTCGACTTTCGTTTGCCATATTGGATTTTTACTAGTTAATGAAAACAATGTGCATGCTTCATACTGATTTTTTTATAATTACAGATGAGTGTTTTTATCCTAAAATAATAAATTGTGGTGATCACCGTATCATTTCCTGATATTCAAATTAGATATTTCTAGCAAAATGCAAATATAAGCATGCGTTGGTGTAAACAGATCGCCATTGATTTTTTCAATAATAGTCATATCCTGGATGGAAATCTGGGGCGTTGGGATACTGGACCGTATCCCAACGCTGACGTCATTTTCACTCTGTTTTCAATGCTAAGTGGAAAGTGCGTATAAATACAGGATATATTTAAGTCACATGGACCAATCAGATTGCAGGGAATTTCACCATCATGGAATAATATCAGTTATCACACGTTTCAGCATGTAATACTGTATCATCCACGAAAGCGAAGCTTGAGTGGTGATACATTGTTACCCGAGTGGAATATTTCATGTATTACATAAGCTGAAACGTGTGATGACGATTTTATCACATGTCTAGGAATTTGAGGCATTTTGATTTGGTCAGTTATGATTGTTTTCAGTACTCTGTACTCCTGGTAACTATTATAATTTTTAATTTCGCTTTGAAACAATATGACGTCATACCGTTGTATTCGTACTTTTTTTGTGAAATAGTATGACGTCATATTGTTTTCCTTAGCTTGAAGTGATATAATCAGTGTGATGTCACATCGTTGCTATTGACTCAGCTCACCGTATCACATGAAAATTATGTGATATGGAATATACATCATCACAATTGACCAATCAAAATGCGTAGACACTCCTAATCATGTGATAAACACCATAACCTACCTGTAACAAATTGACAATGAACAGTAGAGAATCAAGTTTACTTACTATTCACTGAAGAACTTATTTGTGTTGACTTTAGGATTTTCATCTTTGTGGTCAAGCAGCTGAGCAACAGCATCTTCTAAGTAAGCAAGTAACTGGTGTCTTTCTGTAAACATATAAATCTACATTGAAGTTTATAATTTTCTTTGCAACATTTGATATCCCTAAAAGCCAATAGAAAGTTACAAGCATAGTAACAACTACAGGTAGGTGTTAACCCCTTTGTTGCGACACATCCTTAAAACTGCTTAATTGAAAGATGCCTCATAGAGTCGCATATTTTTTCTCCATATTCTAGTGATGTTTCAGGCAATTTACAAATAATTTGTGATTCAATGTCTAAAATCATGGGCTGAGTATTTTCACGTGATTTCAGCATATCTTGAATTTGATTGGACCATATTTTCAAAAGATAGATGTCGCTGTTATTTATTTATTTATGTTTATTTTATCCACCAGAATTGGTGTGTTTACATGTGTTATATAAAATCATGAGCCCATGATAAAATATTACATTACATAAGGGGTTGAAATTATTATGTTACATACAATAATAAAAACAACTAAAATGTTTATTTACAACCAATCCCTGGTGTTGACGGACGTCAGGCTACCGCGTTGACGCCGTCAAGTTACTACTATCTGTTACATACAATAAGAAAGAAAAAATTGTTCCATAAGAAACCATAACATCTTCATTTATACCTGTATTTAAACTGAACAAGATGAAATAAACATTCATTCCAAACATTAGTTTATGCATACATTAGGCCTATAAGGCTTTGCATTTTCAACTTGACAGTTCAAGAGTTTGCAAATTTTATCACTCACTCACCTAGATATTTCTCAGCGGATATTGCAAACCTTTCTTCGTCCATTGTCAAGCTGTGCGACTTGATACTAGTCTTTCTAATGAGACCATCCTCAACCTAGTGCCAAGTCTAAAATGGGCAGAAATTCGGTTGAAATTACATGGAAACTGTGCAAAAATAATGTTTGTCTGTCTGTGTGTCAAATGGAGACCCTTCAATATATTGTTTGGTATGAATATGAATATTAATAATATGATATTCCGATTATAAAAAACATAAAAGATATATCATTGTACTCCTAACGTTGATGTTTGAGAATTGTTTCACTAATATTGGTTAGATAAATCAAAATATTTAAAATAAACGAAATTTAAAAGATACGAAATAAACTATACATCAAATACTAGCTCAGTACGTTGTTATTAATGGGAAAAGTTTTGGGAGTTTATTTCGGAGTTTACCTTCACTTTTAGTGCGATTACATACAAATTACCCTATGTAAAGAAGATATAAGGACTATGAAGACGTTAGCTGTCTTCTTGATGTTCTTTGCAAGCTGCATGGGTAAGTCATTGTTTGTTTCTCAATTCTAAAATTCACTGTGAAAAAGTTGGCAAAAAATCATTGCACTCAATGACACTAAAAAGTTGACCCCTTGAAACCAGGTTTCCTTAGAACCATTATAAATGACAGAAGCAATAAAGTAATTTTAATGTTATGTTATTAACGATCACGTCATTCACCAATTGACATTGTTCATCGTTCAAATGAAATACAGAAACAGTAGACGAGAACAGCCTCCCGGTAGCAAAGCCAGCACAGTTTTCATATAGAACTTTCCAAAATCATGGGCTTGCAAATAGCTTGAAAGTCTATGTACCAAATATATTATTTTCCGAACATTAAGGCATGTTGATTTAAATTGAGGTACAATAAATAGGTATTAGTATAATCATCACTAGGTTTAATGAACATTGATTGTCCTCTTGAGAGTATGTGACTCTTGGCTATTATTTTTGGAATAGAACAAACATATAAAAGGTGGTTGCTCATATTGGCAAGTGAAAGTGAGAAAGATGACACGAGGAGTGAAATTGCTTGCTAATTTAAATTTTAATGAGTTTTAAGGTTAAGGACTGAAAGTTGTCTTGAATTGTTGCCAAGTGATGTTTCAGGACGCAAGAGAAAATGTTTGTCACATCGCAACTGTGCATCAATCTACTCTAAGGTCAAACTAGTTGACATCTAACTGAAATAGGAAAAACTTGTATGTATGCGTAATAAATATAAGTGCACTTCCGTTAATACTTGGTTAAAGCTATTTCTCCTGCCTGACAAAGTAACATTTTTGTTAAAATAAAATGAGTAGATTTGGGAGTAGATTAAATAGAGAAGATCTCAAAATCATAATATATGCATTATGTATATACTTACATGCATTTGAGGTAGGAAGGCTGATTAAATGCAGGTAAATCGGGTATGATAATATTGTGAGTTGCTTATTTAATAATAATAATAGAGGTTGTGAACCTTGTAAGCCTGGACCGTACAGAATATAACTATTCTCTTGAAGAATGTAAGGCCCTCAGACAAATCTCGGAATGTGATAAAATTGGCAAAGAAATTGTTTCTTAACTGAATATTTTCCATGAATTTATCTCCTAAGTCCATACTGTGAATTCATCTTACAGCTGTTTCCATGCTAAATAAGGCTATAATAGAGTGTACTTTGAGAATAATGAACTGAAAAAATATTTAGTTTAGTATTGGGTTAGCAATAATAGCTCCTATATGTTGGATAACTGAACACAAGAATGTAGTACAACATAACAAATTCCTTCTTGTTGTTTTATTGTTTGTCCCTCAAATAAAACATCAATGTAGCTTTGAAATATGAAGCTAAATAGAAAATAACTTGCAGGATTTGAGATCAACTTCAAAATATATTGTCAAAAATTATTAATGGAATGTGGAAATGTATACAAATCAAACCATTCTTGCCTTTTTCAGTAAAGAATATCATGAATTCAACATGACCCAAAAGAAATTTTAATCACAGGATTTCTTGTTTCCTAAGTAAAATTGATTATAAGGACTGGGGCTTATTAAACTTATGTTCATGATCAGATAAACTTGTAGTTCCACCTATGTTGAAGCAATTGGAGGCTGCACCAAGTTAGGGATTTCAAAAATCATGAATAAATGATATGTTTTGACTTGGGAGTTTGGAACATTTATAAGTAATAGGTACATTACCAGAAATGTTTGTGTTTAGTTCAGAATATCAAGTATAATATTTATCTATGACTTTGATATTCTTAAACTGTACCATTGGCTCAAAATGGGTAAAATCAAAATGTTCACAGATAACCAGCCAAGAAGAAATCCTACTGTGAGCAATCGAATCCTATCCAAAATTCAGCATTATACACGCTCTTGTTAATAAAAGTTGATACGCTTTGCACTTCTGTTCAAATTTGTAGGCAAATTCCACATTTTATATGTCTAAACATTGATTTTACTGCCATGTTAACTGGTCAAGTACTAAAAAGAAAGTTAAGATGTATTTTATGTTGTAAGTAATTCTAAATTTAGACAAATATAAAAGACTTCCTATCTTCTCCATATGAATCCAACATACAAAGGCTGTCTTAATAACACATGTGCCAGGATGTGCAAAAAACAAGTTCTGTAAATGAAATCCAGAAAAGTGGTATTACGGTTACATGTATTGTTATCTCAAATTGCTCAGTAAACTCTCTCAAAAATATATAAGTTGGAACATCAGAATGAAAAACACAGGTTTTTATACATTATCTTACAGTACAAGTTCATTAAGTTCACCATTAGAACAATAATGATAGCTGGTAGGGGGGTCGTGGAAATATCAGAATTTCGATGATGCTGAACTGAGTAACTAACCAATAACATGTCACTATAATCTATGACGATTTTTGAGGTTATCAGGTATATACATTTGCGGATTCTTTGTTATATTTGCCAGGGTGAAATGTGTACATTAGAAAGGTCAAATTACACCCAATCACTTAAACATTTTGGCTAAAGTATCCTGAATCTGTTTTTTGGCATTTATAAACATGTACAGTTTATATATACATGAACAAGTGAAAAGATGAAACAATTTATTTCTATTTTCCACCCGGGATATTGTTATATTATGGTTGGTTTAAGATCACAGCGCATGTATATGTATAAGAAAGCCTTGCTAGATAGCTTCATATACCCATCTCCTTTGCTTTATGATATCTTGAATTAAAGTAAAAGAAGGGTAAGAACCAGGAACTTCCAGGGTCCAATATGGCCCCAAATCCTAATTTTGTATGTTTCGGTCAAAATATCTCATTCTTATACGACAAGGTGTAAACAGACCTCAACAAGTAATTATCAGATTTTCTACACTTTCTAGTACTTATCACATCTTTCTTTTACCAACTAGAAAAAAACTTATAGAAGGCCATGAAAGGTAACATGTCATTTTTTGGACAGGGTACAGGGTATAGTTGTGCTTAGGAGATGATCAAGTGAACTACCCTTTTAAATAATTTGATTTTGCCTCTGTAAAAGAGCTTTGTCCACAGTAGTAATTAATAACCACATCTAGGCCCTTTGCCTCAGGGTAAAGTCAACCAGGCCTATTATACATATTTCATGTTCATTCACTTTTCAGATCACCTGAATTTATAACTGATAACATAGGACTCTTAATAGATCCTGATATGAGAGAATAACAATTTCTAAATGTCCTTTATCCATTGATAACTGCATATTTGTTTGAAGTTTTGATCAGTCAATATAAACTAAGTCTCTCAATAATAACCCCTTGTCTCATGTATAAATAAGAGAACTGTTTAAAGCCTAAGTGAAAGTTAGCCATTTTATTTAATAGGTCTGTACCCTGAATCTGCATCTATAACTACATTTCCCTCTTATTTTAACGAATGATTGTGTACTTTTAATATGGGATCTCTATGCTCTCAAATGTAGCTTGCTTTACTTTTTATTATATGAGTTTTAATATGAAATGATTATTAGTATAAACAGTAAATGTAGTGCCATGGTTTTGTGTCTATATTCTTCTAAAATTGGATATGATCTAAGAATCGAATTTGAAATCAAATTGCAATTTGAAGGGAAATCAATGATTGAAAGGAGTATATTTTTGTTCACAATTGACTATTTAAGTGACTTATTTTTAATCATTTTACTCATTTTGTTAAACTTAAGAGATTTCAAGTAGAGTTTGATTTTTCTGTATAGGGCTAGGTTGTAAATCAAATGGTCAAATGGTTTATATCAATTCCAGAAAAATCCAAGTGAAATTTTATCATATTTAATTATATTATTATTGAACTAACTTAATGTGCAATAGTAGCAAAAAATATTTGATGAGAATTATAATGAGCATGGGTTAATTTTTACGAAGGTGAACGATTTCCCCAGAATTATCAACTATAGTGTTGCATCAATCCCTTGTATACCCACTCTATTCTAAAATACACACCTACTTTATAAGAAGGGAAATATATATTTGGAGAGAGGCTCGGTACAAGACTATATCTAAGTTCCTATTTGTAGTGAAGCGCCCAGTTGTTTCACTGCTATCTATCTTCAGATTTTCAGTTCTTCTTTATCTAATGCCCAGAGCAACCACTTTGATGATAAATGCCATGGTGGATACTTTCAATGGCCAACTATTAATTTAACTGATTGGTATATTCGTCTATGGAATTCAAAAATTCATAATTCAAATGTGTAAAAATGTAAATAAATATATGGAAGATTTCGAGGAACTTTTTGCACCTCACTTTTTGGTGCTTGAATAATTTTAGTCCAATTAAGCCCCTACCAGTTATTGATGAAAATTTGATTGTTATGTTTTTATTCACATATTCAAAAATATGCTATCCATACATATTCATTCATGATTTTTTCTACCACCAAGAACGTAATAAAACTTCCTTCAAGTCAAAATCAAGCGGCTATGTTTTATAAGGAGAATCTCAAAAAAGTGAAAAAACAAACTAATATTTTACACTTAATCTGTCTGAGAGTATATGGAGGCTTGGGTGAACAAAATTAGAAGTTTTGTTTAAAAATACTATTTTAAAAAATAATCTGAGATTTCTTTCCAGGGAAATCAGGTGGATTTACTTATGAAAGTGCTTTGAAGATTAGTGTGAGGATTTCTGTATTTATAGAGTAGATTGTGTTTAAGAAGGTACATATCTGTTTCAAACATGTCTAGTGGCTTTCTATATCCGAAACACAATGGATATGATCTTTTAGTACCCTTGCAGTCTAGTTATAAACTACCCTCTGCCTAGTTTATAGACAATATTACAGTTTAGCAGCCTCGACCCCGCGACTGTTGCTGTGACAACCTGGATCAAAAGTCATTTAAAACCTATCTCGCCAACCTTTTCTCAAACAATCAGCGAGCTGGAAGGAGAAAAATGACCATATATAGAAAGTCATGTAAAAAGACATGTATGTTTTGACGGCAAACTCTGAGTTCAGAGATTCATTGTAAACTGAGAATGAAGATGAAGCTCTCTTTTAAGAAGCTAAGTCAAACAAATGCAAAGGTTAGTCTTTGATATCACCTGGTTGTTTGTATATATGGTTTATAAATATTAGTTTGCCTAATTTTGAGAAAGTTACTTTAGAATATCTATTGGTACTGTTTTATTTTATATGATTGCTATGAGATGAAGAAAGAGTTTTCGAGAGATCTTTTTAAAAATTGCATTAATTTTTTGTTAATGAAATCTGGTGATGTTGTTTGATGGTTTCTAGAGTTACAATGATTTGGAGGGATTTTGGTTGCTAAATATGTTCAATTAATGTACTTTCTAGATATCATATTGTATTTAATCTAATAGAAGGCATTCTCTATCTTGGAACTGGAGTACAGTATGTAGTGATTCCCTAGATTGCCAGGACTGAGATTGCTACTTACTATAAACATCATTGACCCCCCTCATCTAATTAGGTCAAGTACTTCACTTTACCTCTTTGAAACATTTATGTATCAAATCTGGAAGAATGTTTGGCATTTGGTAGATATAGAATTGCATTGAGAAACAACAGTTTGTTCATGGGGTTGTACTTCTAGGTCATTGATCACTGATCAGTAATGTTTTTTGCATGGAGGTTTGAGGATATGTGTTGTGGCTTACTCTAATGACAAACATAAAAATGCATTGACGGCTTTGACTAAACTCTTGGGCCTTAGTCTCACTTTTTATGTTTTTTCATGCCAATGGATCATATTTTTAATTTAAGGGTATATTTTCCAGGCCCGTAGCCAGGGGGGTTCGCAGGGTTCGGGTGAACCCCCCCCCTGGCCAAAAATTCTTTCAAAATCATGCAGTTTTTCACCATTTTGAGCACTTCTCAATTGATTTTAGCCATATTTGAGCCAAATTTGTCAAATGTGAACCCCCCCTGAGATTTTTGAAAAATGAACCCCCCCTTGGCAAATCCTGGCTACAGGCCTGTTTTCTTTAGTTTTCTGTAAAATATAGATAAATTTGAGCTGCAAGTCAGCTGTTCATCTAGGAGTACTAATATACCCCCATGGCAATTGCACTGCTTTTGTATATTTTATAGTATTCATATGTATCATCTATATTTATTGGATTTGTAACATTTTAATATAGAGCCTTATGTCTTTCCCTCATCCTAACATAAATATAGTAAAACCTGTCTTAGTGATCCCCCTCTCTCTCTCTCGTGA